TTCCAAGCTCGAAGTCAAGAGAGAGAGAGAGAGAGAGAGAGAGAGAGAGGAGGGGGCACTGTGCCAAGCTGTCCATTATGTGACTCTGACACGTGCTACTCCGTTTCTTCTTTGCCTTTTGACTTCCAGGAAATGTTCCAAGATGCACGCCCGGCATTATGGCTCTCATGTCAATGCCACTCCCAACAAGTTCCCCACCCGAAGAGCAAGTGCCAAGCAGATTGAATGCTGATTGTTTCATTCATACAATGCAAAACCCCTGCTTAACATCAGTGGCACTCCTATTGTTTTTGGAGGCGTCTTCTCACAACTTCCCCGGGCCAATCATCAATGACATCATCCGAGCCCACCAACCTGAGAGAACTCACCCACACGCGCATGCACTTGCACACAGAGCGTCCAAACTCAACAAGTAAGCACGGGGCATACATGCAATATCGTTTGATCACAAGCAAAGCAAAATCTGAATCTTTAGCAAAAACATGTTCAGATTCAGACAACACAGCAAACAAAGTCTGAATCTGAATCGGAATCTTTAGCAAAACATCAACGGGACAACGGACAGGATTTTCTCAGAAAAGTCCAGAGTTGTTGCACAGCACAAAACAAAAAGAAAACCATGCTGCAAAGGTAACGGCTCCCCCCAATCAAAACACTCAAAAGATAAAGGGGAAAAAAAAGGCTCATTGGTATTCCCGCCTATTTTCTTGCACGCGGAATTTCGTCTGTGCAATCAGACTCGCTTTCTTTTCCACGCTGCATACATGCAAACAGTTGGCGATTCACACTGGCGCTCAGTGCCCACACAAAGGCTCGGAGATATGGCAAAGGAGAACACAGTTCAGATGTAAACTCGCTTCAACAAGCTATGGCGCCTTAGCGCCTTCACAGAACAACTCTCGCCACTTCGTTCAACACCACTGTTCACACATACTCAACTCAACTCTGGATCACCCTGAATACCCCCACACACACACACTAACCTATCGGGGCTATGGCCGCTCTACCCCTACTGACTATGGCTACGAGATCATTTCTCAGCCCACTTCGTCTTCGGGCAACCTGCAGACCACCTTTGCACAAGACGCTGTAGCAGCGCTTCCTCATGGCTTAAGCAGCGAATGAATGAATGGCTGGGCGCTGCCTCTTGATTTATACTTCTACAACTCGTTGGTCTGCCCCTTTCCCAGGAGGCCCTTGGTGCACACAGTCCCACACGGTACTTGCTTGATTGGACTACTGACTGGGACCAGTACTGCTGACTGCATAGGTTTGCACTGCCAACTCGATGCAGTCGCACTGCCGACGTAACGCAGTTGGGCTCACCACTTGCCCACTTGCCTCTGACTAAACGTGAGACGCTTCAAAAGGCCACTTCCGGACCTTCCGGAAGTCTGTGGACTTGGCCTTTCGGGTGCTATATCAGCTACGACCTCGACCTTTCAGGACTGCAGCAGCTACAACCTTGACCTTTCGGAATACCTACAGCTACGACCTCTACAAAGCTGTGACTCCTAATCGACAGACCTACAGATCGAACCCCTACCACTACACAGACCTACGACAAACGACAAACAACTACCAAACACAGGTCACGGGTTCAAACACTCTGGTGTCGACTCGATACTGTACATGGGCGAAGTGAGATCTGGGGATCGAAGTCTAGGGCCCGCATCTGTGACTGCAGAAAGGTGAAAACCGTTTCACTCCCGCTGGCCTAAATTCGAGGTCCTCCGAGAATACTTCAGTGTAAGGCAGGACCTTTACCTTTCTTATCTCTTTCGTAAGTTCAGATTATATCGGGAGCTGTCTCTAGAAGTTCTGTTCACGTGAACCAGCGGGCGTCTTCTGGCTCTTGATAGGCAAATCTGACTTTGTATTGCCTCTGGGGACGACCTCTACCTCCTGTCCTGAAGACATCCTCACCTACTATCCCTTCAATGTCATATCTTCGTCCATATCTGGAGGAATTATAGATCTGCGTGATGGAAACTGTGGACTTGTAACGCAAGGCAACAACTTTGACGCATGGAACATTGGGTAGGTGTGGAGGTGTGCTGGAAAGTCGCTGGCGCATTGGTTAGTCCAAAGGGCATAACTATAAACTCGTAGTGCCCATATCTAGTCCGGAATGCTGTCTTATACTGATCATCAGGATGAACCTCTATCTGATGATCAGTCTAACAAATCGTCTATACAGGGCAGTGGTTCTGCATTCTTCACTGGGATAGCATTAAGACCCTTATAGTCTATACGCATTCTGAGCTCTCCCTCTTTCTTGGGGACAAAGCGAACAAGTGCTCTAAATGGGGATGAACTGGGCCTAATCCAACCTTTCTCAAGGAGCTCGTCTAACTACTTACATAGCTCCTCTAACTCTCTTGGGGACATTCTGTAAATCGCTCCCTTAGGAGTCCTACTGCCAGGCTCGATCTCTATGCGATGCTGGATTGGCCACGACACTACTCCTGTAGGCGGCTTAACTAAATCTGTATATTCTTCCAGCAGCTTGGCAATAGCAGGGTCTATGGGTGTCTCCTTCTTAGACTCAGTGATTGGCCTTACGTAGGCTACAAATACATGTTCTTCTAATTGCTCCTTCACTAAACGCGCGAACGCGGGAGCACTGAGGCAGCAATGTGCCAGAGTGTTGTCTCCTCCTGACACATGAAACAGGCGAGCAATCTTAACTCCACCTGTGGGACTAGGGAGCCTACACTCGTGCTCTCTCAAATGGAGTGTGGCCTCTGCTGCCTCTCCCCAGTCCATTCCTATGACTATCTCGAAAGGAAGAGTATCCTCTACGAGCAGAGTCAGGGAATGTCTCCACCTTCTCATCTTTCTCTAGGTGAAAGTACGCCTGGACTCCCTCAACATCATCCTCGACTCGCATAGTGCGATTGTCTGCGAGGATACTAACTATAGGGTCTTCTAATTTTTGGACCGTCAAGTTTAGCTTAACTTCTGCAGCGCTTTCCTACTAATATAGCTGCGGGTGGCCCCACTTTCTATAAGGGCCCCTACTCTACCTCTAAAAATCTCTACATCTACTAAAACTATCTGTCCTTTGGCATCCTTCTTCATCTTGGCCCAAGCAGGCATCCTCTCCTTCAACTCTTCAGCCACGACTGTGAGGGAGGTACCTAGAGAGACTCTTACACAAACAGTCTCTGGACAGCTGTCTAGGTACTGGCCAGCAACCTCTGCCGTAGGCTTATGTGGTTTGGGAGTTCCTTTGTGGTGCGCGCACTCTTCTCCACATGGCCTAGAGGTAAGGGCAGTTGCGACCCCTGTCGGCGGTTGCCTTTTGCTGCTCGTGCAGCATACCGGGCTTCTCCATACTTCGGGCATAACCAGGATCACCGCTATAGATACACTGATCTTGATCAATCAGTCTTTGCCACGCTGACTGTTCTAAGCCCAAATCTTCCCATGGCCTGCCTTGTGGCAAGCCTGAATGCCATCCACCTCGACGTGGAGGTGACCTATAGGATCGTGAGCGATTTGGCGGGGGACCTTGACCCCTACCTCCCTCTTGGCGGTTTCCTCTACTACCAACCCCTTGAGCGCCCTGTCCTCGGCCACCTGAGGCCCGACCCCCTTGGCCCTGGCCTCCTCCTCCTTGCAGCCTCCCTCCAGCTGCGACAGCAGCGTAGGTTCTCCCCTGACCCCCACTACTTTCCTCCTACTCCAGGCCCCACTCGATCTGGCTATACGGGACCTCGTCTGTACCACCCTCATCTAACGTAAGGATCAGACGATCCTTTCCCTTTACCTATCCTGAGATGGTACGACATTTCCACTTTTTACCTTTGTCTAGGTCCTTGTGCCAGAAAGTGAAAACTGGCATGGACTGTGCCTCGAACAACACCACCTCTCTACTCGACGCATCGTATGTCATGGTGGGTTGTCGCCTCTTCTCAAAGAAGTGCACCCGTAGGGGCTCTGGCATGGCACGATAGAAGAGATTGACCAACGGAGGCTCACTGACCCCGTGGTCTGGGACGGCTACAAGCTCGTCCATTACGCCTTTGAGTGCTCTGGCACTCCTCCACTGGCGTGAGTGGATAGTTTGCAGTTTGTCATAGGCCCTAACGCCTCGTGTGACATCTGTGAATCGCTCCTTAAGGAGCCGAAAGAACTCAGGGAGATGAGTGACCTTGGAATAAGCGACCATATTGTTCTCGCACTGTGCGGCGCGGGCGAGCGATCTAGCGAAGCTGGCGGCCTCATCCTTGAGGGCCTGGAAGGCAATGAGGACTTGTTTCTATGGCATGATATGTTGTAAATAAATGTATGTATTTACGTTGGCCTCGCAATTATCAAAGTTTTCTTCTTTCTTCCCCCCGTAGGACTCAAGAAACTTTATCTTAACGGACTCTCTATGGGGGCGTGGCTCTTCTTCCTTCGGCAGGGTCAACTTTGCGCCCTCCATGGCGCCTGTGCAAAACTTCTCAGTGCTTTCTATCCTTGCCTGCACTTTTGCACCCACGTGCCGCATCATCTCGCGTGCGAAATCCCTGAATCCTAAGCGTATAGAGTGTAAGGTCATATCCTGGGCTCTCGAAAACTGATACTGCTCCTCCCAGGCCTTAGCCAGGAGCTCAATGCTTCTATAGATAATATCTATTTTCCCCTGTACATCAACTTGTGCCTGGATCTGCGCTCTTTGCTCTTTAACCACCTCCAACTCCTTCGCTATTTGGCTTGCCTCGTCCATCCTTGTTTTCCTCTCCCTCATAACACGCAGTTTCCACTCTAACTTTTTCTCCTCCTCGATTGTCTGGCATCTTAAGGGATCCTTTTCTGCCTCCCACTCCCCGATAACTGCTTCCTTCTCTTATGGGGGTATATACAACATGGCCTCTTCCTCTTCTCCCAGAGGTAAATTCGCTACCCACTTAGAAATCTTTTATCCATCCCCGAGTCCTTTTTCTTTGTGTCACTGAACTCACCCCTCTGCTCTGCGCCTCTCCTGAGCAGGGGCTCTTCCTGTTCCTCCTCCTCTTCTACCTCCTCAAGCTCTTCCTCATCTACTTCTTTCTTCTCTTCCTCCTTCTTTAACCTCTCCATTTCTTCCTACAACTTCTTCTTCTTCGCCGCCTGCTCCTCCTGCACGACCAACTTCTTGGCCTGCTTAATCAACTCCTTCTTGGCCTGCTTCTCCTTTCTCTCTCTATGGACGGCGGCGGCCTTCTCTCCCTGAGCCTTGGTGTAAGGGGTGGTGCTCTTGCCACTACGCGTGTCAACCATGGTGAAAGGTGTACAACCCTGAATCAGTTTCACTCCTCACCACTTAGACTCACCCCCCTAACTGACTTAACTTAGACTGACTCAATCTAAGGACCACAAAATCTTAAAAAGATCCTGTCAACTAGGGTCGCTAGCGTAGACCTAAACTAAGGCTGTCACTACAGGACTTACTGCTGATCAGGAGGCATTTAAGGAGATCCCCCGTAACTCCTCAGGAATTATTTAACGTCGCAAACAGGACGACGCGATCAGCAAGTCCTCTCAAGAGGTAGACAGCTTGTTGTGCAGCCCACAGCTCGGATTTTGGGCCTACCGTGCCACACTGAGCAGCCCGCCGGTCTGTACCGGTCCTTGGGAGGGTTCGTGTCCTTCGGGTCAGTCGAGCCGTCAGACACAACTTTTAGCCCTACTCAGCCCGTGTGGGTTTGGTCAACAAAGCTCTATGACCACGTAGAGTTCCTATCACCTGGACAGAAGAGACTCAATGCAAAAAGAAGAGAAACAAACTCAGCAAGTACCATGGGCTGAGTGCACATCCACAAGGCGAGGGGATAGGCTGAAGGCTTGGCGAGAATATACCAACTCCAGCTTGGTCAACGTCGTGGTCAACAGCACCGGTCAACGCCTTGGTCAACGTTGGTCAACACCTTGGTCAACTCCAGACAGCTTGCCGGTCAACTCTCCGGTCAAGTCTTGGTCAATGTTGGTCAACCCTTTGGTCAACACCTTACTCAACCCTTGCTTCGGCTATGGCTGCCGCCACTTTCTTCCTCACCAACCCTCGCTCTCTTTCCCCCACCTTTCTTCTTCCTCTCTTTCTCTCCGCAACCCCGACTATATCTCCTTTTTTTTTTTTTTTTTTTTGATCGTCTCCCCCTTCTTCTTTCTTGGCTATGGCTTCCCTCTCCTTCGTCTCTCCTCCCTTCTCCTCCACTTCGCCTTTCTTCCTCTTGATGGCCCTGTGTCCGAGCTCCGCGGCTATGGCCACTTTCTCCTTGGTCCCCACAACAATCTTGTATCGCTCTTCTCTCTCTCTCTCTCTCTCTCTCTCTCTCTCTCTCTCTCTCTCTCTCTCTCTCTCTCTCTCTCTCTCTCTCTACGTCGTTGTCTTCTGCGCAGCTACACCGTACCTTCTCTCCTTGTATCAGCTATGGCGGACTTCCCTCCTTCGGTGCACCTCAGCTATGGCGCCTGACGGGCGCGCGACTCCTTCCCTGCTGGCAACGACTATGGCGCGTGGGGTAACGGGAACCAGCTCTGATACCAATGCAATCAGACTCGCTTTCTTTTCCACTCTGCATACATGCAAACAGTTGGCGATTCACACTGGCGCTCAGCTCCCACACAAAGGCTCGGAGATATGGCAAACGAGAACACAGTTCAGATGTAAACTCGCTTCAACAAGCTATGGCGCCTTAGCGCCTTCACAGAACA